GAATTTCTCAGGAATTCCTGCAAAATGAACGGATCAAATGAACTACTAAATCTTACCAGTTCGTAAAATTGAGTCCCATCTGATCTCAACATTTCTTACAGATTGCTTGTAATATGCTGATTTCTTTTATCACATAAGTTGCTAAATTTCAGATGACTAGTGTTATCGCCTTTCTTTCTTTTCTCTTTCGTCTCTGCCTTCTTTCCTATTTTCTTCTCTTTTCCTTTTCCTTCCAATCTTTTCTTTACTACTTACATGGGAAAGGTCACTGGTGTATAGTAAGTGGTGAAACCGCTCTGAGGAAGGCGAAGACACCGAAATGTCACACATCGATATGTTTAAGATATACCATCCCTCGCGAGCTTTTAAAAAGTATAGTTTGTGAGACGATTTCATTTCATTGATATTTTATAGGTTCAGAGAATGGTTTTTTTCCCGCAGGGTCCGCAGTTCATCACATTAGCGAACTAGCTATCCTCATTCATTGGAGAGAAGTTTAGCACTTTGCCACAAAGCATCTAGTAGCACAGCCCTTGCCTTGATATGCTTCTATCTGGCTCTCATAGAGTAATGCCAAAGTGCTCATTGCAAACTTATTAGGTTCTGAACTTGGCGTTATAGATATACAAATTGTATGACCTTGTTCACTGCCTGATTCTCGCAAACAATTTACCTGGGTAGAATTTTACTGAAAAACACATTTTTCTTCTCCCGGACATCACTCTCTCACCGCCTACCATCACGGCTAAATCTCCGCCATTATCGATCAGAAGATGTTTGCACCTTCTTAAGAGTGAGGGTTTTTGAAGGTTCCAGTGATTTCTGGTCACACAAGTTTACTATTCAATGTTTACTGGAACGAAATGTACTTTCTTTCGTGCATTATTCACTTGGTTATTTTTACAAGCACTGTCCTGATGCTAAAACAAATGCGCAAGGTTCAGCTCCTATCTTAGATCAAAGTTTTACTTACCTCTCAGACATGATCGTATATATAGTGATTTCTCGTTATTTCACCAAGTGAAAAGCTATTAAGTATGAGTGTTCAAAAATCAAATTTCTTGGCAATAAGCTACAAAAACGTTTCTCTTATTTCTTTACAATATCTCATTTGTTTCTTCAAACATCAAAAGTAATAGGAGAGTAAAACAAGATACGAATCGTTTGAAGACTATTTTCCGACGAATTATGATAGATGGCGCAGGTTACCGGCTTGCTTTGCGGTAAACCGTATGTCACTAAAACGTCGTCATTCAGAGTTATACACGATGATTGACATGTGCTGCCTCTTTGAGATCGTTGTCCTCGTAGATTGCCGATGAGCGTTATGTAAAGAAAGGAGTAGCATCAATTAAAACGAACAACGAACTCGGTAGATGACAACCATGATGTGTGCGTAATTGCGTACGAAATGCAAATTAGAAACGTGGATTCATCATAAACACTGAACATTTGATTTTGAGCGTCACTTTCAACAGTATCCCTGTAAAGTCATCAGACACTGAAACAAAGTGCGAAGTCGCACATTATTAAATTTTCTGAGGTTTTTATTGTTAGAAGCGAATCACATAGACAGAAATGCGAGATTTTGTCCATATACGGATTTGCAGAAGGGATAAAACGCTTAATGAGGATACTGGACAATCTCCTAATGTTCAAACGAAGTCAAATTTTTTTATATAAGTGTTTCATTCTTCATGTCTGAACCCTCAGGAATCTACGCTACTTTGATATCTGAGTAAAAAAATGTAGGTCTTCTCATAGTAATGTATTTTGCGCTTTCAAGTTATCAAACTTACCTCTATAAAAGGCTGAAGTAAGCAGAAAAAGTCTAAATTAATCGGGTTAATCTGTCGTCCCGGCATGGATAAAGCGCAGGTTCGACTCCCGTCTGAGGCCGAATTTTCGCTCATCACTCAATTCTCTTAGGTGCATTGGAAACATAGTACTACTGCGAAAAATGCAATCAAAACTTTAGAAATTATAAGTATTACATATCAATCGAGATCTCTGGAAGCGAGCAATGCCTGGCTAACCGCAACACAACAATCTTGGCTTTTCACCGCTTGATGTCGGTTACTGTTATATGAGAAGTTTGCAGCCTCGTGCGGACGTTTCTTCCGAACCAACGACATTTTCCTTACGTAAATAGGACTGCGAGATATGATTTATTCGTAGCTCGGTCGATCTTGCTAGAAAGATGGATCATTCCTGCAGACTGTTTGAGGCCTATTTATGGCTAACAGAGGATTACAGAGGTGTTGTTAGTGATAGCTTAATACTGACGATCGATTCGTATTGGAGAAATTCCTGATGGTCTGTTGCTTCTTTTTCTGTGATGAGGATCTCAGTAAAAAGAACGAGGGACAGTAAGCATTCAATGAGCACTAGAGATCTATCCTGTTATTCAGTGATAAAGAGAAACTTCTATCTTTTTGGGAATGACGTGCAGAATCGCAGTTTTTATTTTCACAATAGGTCATAAGGTCGTCAGTAAGTGTACAGCTAACTACAACGCAAACATGTTGATGAGGCAATATGCGTTGGAAGCGTGATCGATGTGATTCAATACTTTGTTTTCTATCTCTCAAAACTGACATGGAAATTTAATTCTTTCTGAACTACTTTATTCACTTGTTAAAAGAAAAGATTTCTTTTAGGCCGTAAAAGAACACCATTATTAACCGAGAAATAGACAGCTGGAGAACAATATCTGACCCAACATAATTCAGCGGTGAGCAAAAGCTCGACCATAGACGAGAGTTGAACCCGCATTTCACCCATGCTGAGGCTCTTGCTACCACTTCACCACAAGCGCGACGTTTCGCTACCATTCATTCTCCAGTGTCCCTATCATAGCTAACAGTCACTAACCTATAGTAGGTTTGGTCGGGTAAGAAATATCGCTTTATATACCCTGTTTTATATTTCTTTTCAAAATTTTGCTCACCACTCAATTGTCTTAGGTATATTTGAAACATCATTACAGTGCGAAAAAGCAGTAAAAAAATAAAATCTGACTCGCTTTCAGAGTTGTTCTAGTAGATTTGTCTTCAAACCACACTTCATACCTTCCCGCTCATTTGGTTGTAGACTTCTAACCAAATAAGTGCGCAAATACATTTCATACATAAATAGATGGATAAGACTTAATCCACATAGCATACATGTGTGCACATATCCACGTACATTAGGAGATGTAAGCCAGCCTGGAGCAGTAGAGACAGCCATTCCATTGTTTCGCCATTCCACTTCTGTCATAGAGCGAATAAGTCCCCCTATTGGTCGCGTTTCAACCTCCTTTACGACAAATTGGAGACTCACCACGTAGTCTCGTGACTAATTAGTTTGAGATTTTGAACATAGGTAACTTCCTGATTATGCGCAAATATAGTATTGGAAAAAATCGTGTTATATAAAAATCTTGAAGTATTATTTTCACTAATGTCTCGATGGTTTCACTACAGGTATCTAGTAACGTTCGTTGAGTCGAAATCGAAGGCGAGATCTAGAATTGTAATTTTAATTGTTTTATTTTTTTATCAAATAAGACATTAAAACAAGTTTTGAAGTCATTTAATGCTTAATTTATATTCTCTTCAACCGGATTTTCTTCTAGTAGTTTTTTTCTTCATATGAAGTTCGTCACTGTAACAATGAGTGGAAAATGTTCTTTTTTCGATTTCGACTCGCCTTTCATCGTCTGGCTAGCGTTGACGCCTAGTTGTAGTCTTATTGTTATTCCTCCATGCCCCCACTTCCTCCCCCCATTTCTCTTTGTTAAAGGAACATCATATCAAATTCAGCAACAAATTGTTAATAATTCAATTAGGACCGATAGAGATGTGACCTCTTGAAGCTCGACTGCGCAAAAAGTCTATTGTGAGAACAATATGCACCAATAGGACATAATTACCTCCTGGTCCCTAATAGACGTCCCGATAAGGTTCACAACCACACACACAACTGTCCGACTGTTCGAGTTGTATTTGCCAAAAACGGGAAAAGTAAAGTGGAAGTTTTTCAACACATTGCAACTGGAAGCGAACAAACGTGAGGCACTTTGAAAGTAGATATAAGGCTCACATGAAAATTTCTTCAGTGAACCCGATGCTGAAGATAGTCGTCGTACCCATAGAAACGAAATAGAAAACCCCATATGCAATATAAGAATTAATGGACCACAATCTACAATCTCTTTACATAGTTGGAGCTGAGAGTAAGTATGCAATAAAGTTACTCCTAACAACTTATAAAAACTGAAAGATCACACTGCTGTATTAAGATTACTTAGTACTATGCATTGAGTGAAAATGCTATAAATAATGGCGAAACGTCGATTTTAGTTGCCGTAACCTGTCATTCTTCTAAACTTCCCGAGCATTTTATGAACCCTAATTGGTTTTCTTCAAACAATGTTATGTTTTAGTATACCCAATGATGTAGAGTGATGCTAAAACATTTGCGTCAGTCGGGATTTGAACCCTCATTTCACCCTGCCTGGGTCGGAAGAATTCTGTGTGATCATCTCACACCCAATATCTGTCACCGTAACTGGATTCAATCAGGTAGCGACTACCTAACCAACCGTTAGAGGTTGGTTGCTGGCAGCTAGATGCGTTGTAGCATGGAAAGAGTCGTGTGAAGACAGACGTCGGTTGTGCAAGGGATAGGGCCCGAGCCCCGGATTAGATGGAATGCAGGTTCAAGACCCGTCTGACGTGAATGTTTTGCATGTACCTTACATCATTGGGTATACTATAACATCATGCCATCGCTATAAGCTATCAAATAAGAAGAATTCCGTTTGATCACCTGATATATGCTTTTTGTGAAGTCCTAATTTTTCAATGTATACCACTTATTGAGTCAAAATAAACTCGGAAATGCAGCCATTACTTTATAAAAATCAATCGGAAATTATTTTATTTGACCGCCACTTGCGGTGTCATTATATGACATTATACCCAATAGTGTAGAGTGCTCTGTGCAGAAACGTTTGCGTCAGCCGGGATTGGAACCCAAATCTCACTCTTTCCGATAGCGTATGTTAACCGTTACACCACCGACGCATCAGTACGCTCCTGGAAAGAGTGAGATCTGGGTTTGAATGCCGGCTGACGCAAACGTTTTTGCACAGCACTCTACACTTCACAGAAACTGCTGAACATTTGATAACTGATTGACGACTCCTATACTGAAGTTTCAGGTGCAATTATTGCGTTCTCCATTCTCTACTTTTAATAATTGAGCGCTCCATTGTGTCCCTGAGGTCTTCATTCATGCTCATATGAGATGTACAGTAGAGATTCTTCACTATGCTTGGTAAACCAAGCCGTGAAGAAGCTCGCCGTCTCCTTTTACTGGTAGCCTAGCTGAGAGAACGTCAACTAACAGGAAAGCATTCTAAACAAGCAGCAAGCTCCTTACGCTATCCTGTAACACTCTGTACATACTATTGTCGTTGTGGCCGCTATTACGTAGGTGTCGTTGTATAAATGCAGAGTTCAGTTAATTTGTTGCTTTCGATGACGTTCATGGCGACGTTATTTGTAATCGTCATAAAAAATGAGTTCATAAAATTTGAAACGCTTAGTCGCGTCGCTTAGTCAAGAGTAAATGGGTAACCTAGGCGAATTCTCCACTAAATGGTGATCTCAGATAATTTCGATGAACTACAGCATTTACTATCTTCACATACTGTTGAAGAGTAAGTGCATTGATGATATCAAAAGGCACGATGGAGCTCTTCTTTGGTGCGCAATTGTCTAAGTAAGAGAATCGGTTTGATTTTAGAGGTCCTAAGTCAGTTTTTAATGACGATGTTCCACTAATTCCAATGTGAATTTGGATACAAAAGAAGTTTGCTCATATTCGATTCTAATCTGGGTTTCGTGAAAACCCTAGCGACTAGAGTTGTTTTCATTGAAAAATTTGCAACTCTGTCCGTACGAGAATTTTCAGATAATTACTGAGTTGTATCTCCCTAAAGAAAACTATACGATGTAAATCTTTAGTTCTTCTTCAACCTGCACCATTCCAACTTCGAAATTCGACAGATTGCTTGAAAATAAATGAGCTACAACTTTTATCTTTCTTATGCCCACATTAGTGTCCGCCGGACAGCTTACGCTTCTAACCAATTGTATGCTTTATATTTCTGGGGTTGATTTGCTGTATTTATGAGACGTAGCATTTCTTTTCGCATTTTTACCCTTTCTATCCCCTCCATGTGAATTAACAACAATATACACATAGCCCACGCTAATAAACAAGAGTCACACAGCTCCTAACCCGTTTAATATCTTCATTTGCCGTCATTTTAAAACCAAAATAGCATTATTAGTTGAGTAGTTGACTGAATACTATTTGAATCGTCATACTATGCTCATATCTAACAATCACTTAGTTTAATGCTCCTTCTTATTGTTTTATTCAACCGATCTACTCGTTTTTTCTTAAATATCGGCTTTTTTATGTTTCTCGCATAGAATTTTTACTTTTCTGTTGTTTTCTTAACTTTAGTTTATGTCGTACAAGTCTTTTTTATATTCACATTATTTCTACACCTGAATCATTAAGTGTGCCGCGCAATGTGGGCGTGGCCAGCCAATCAACGCTATGCATGAGTCGCTCTACATCCATCCCATGTGACACAAACACACTTACTATTACGCATTCGCCGCCTGATCACGCGGATTACGGTACTGAGACCTCGAACTTTCCCACTCGGCTTACTATTTTTCAGATACTTTCACTAGTGTACTTAGCGATTTCTTCTTAGGAACCTTATCACTTCATCGGTATTTACCAGTTGTGGCAGTACCGAACCTGTTCTTCCTGTTGTCACTACTGTTTTTTTATAAAAGTTTTTTCTAAAGTGAAATTTGTTTGATATTTTTCTAACGGATTTGTGAAATCTTTCCTTTTGATGAAAGCTTTTTCTCCGAATAGAGTCTACAACTCGCGATATATTGTTGTTGTCCGAGTGTAGAGAATCACTTCAGTCTCCGAACTAGTCCTACTCAGCGAAATCGCCACCGAAATGAGACTGTTCTCCTCACGTTTGCCTTAAGCTGACTTGTGGCGCCGACTCGATGTTGTCGAAGGGCGAAGGCAATATGACTCTGATAGGCAATAGCTTTCCATAGGTATTTCACGCTATTCAGTGTCTATCAATTCGTGTCGAAGTTCTCGATTTTGATTGTGTTCAGCTAATCATCTTGTCCGATTGCATTGTCTACACACAAAGTGCTATGTGTTTACACACCTTCACCACAACCCACCATCACCACTATCGGCCGCCGTCGCCACCGCCACCAGAGCGCGACAGGAATTTAATACCGTGCTTCTTCATCGCACGCTTATTTCTTCTCATGACTTGTTGCGTATCGTCCGTATGTCGAAATCACCAATGACGGGATAGGGCTAGATAATCATTGTAAACCTCTATACTCACTTGACTACTGTACTCACCTCTTCTGATAGGGAGATGGATTTTTATGCTAATATTCATAAGCACATTCAAAGTGCTTGACACAAGAGTAAGATATTTCCTTAGATATCAATGTTTCGCTGCGTGGAGACGAATTAAATGCTAGAAGTATTGAGGTCAGCACAAGAAAAAACTGTGATACGGATCAGATAAGTTCTAAAATCATTGTCGAGATTTGATATTTCCAACCTTATAAATGGAATTCCCCTGCTATATTTCGATTTTGGATGGCGTATATGAAGGAAGACATGGGTCTAAGAAACCATATGTTAGCTATGGGCCTCAACGACCTAAAGTAATGACGCAAAAGCTTGCTGTACCGGAGTTATATCTTCCGTGTAGAGTTGGAAGTTTTATGAAAGTCTGTCTGGTTGAAAGCCTTTGATAGAATTCTTGTGAGATTTTACCTGTGAAGTACTTATCAAGAATTCCGCGATTGTCTCTATCAGCTGGAAACCAAGGACATTCTGTATGTTGGCGAGCTACTTGTAACTGCGCCTAATAATTTAGAACTGAACTCAATCTACTTGTTATCTGTGGATTACCCTCTTTAATATTGTAATAATGATGATGCCGCATGAAAATTAAGATGCTTCGCCTGTAACTCAGCTGTGCGGGACCCACAGAGCTGCTTAAATATGGGCAGGCCACTGACGATCGCTCCAGCCGCCCAACAGATGTGCTTCAATAGTACTTAATACCTTGGTGAAGTTGTTTGTACAAAAAATGACGTAGATGCTCTGATAATTTTTATTCCATTAGCTCATCTCAGACTTATTTGGCAGAGTTAATCGGGGAGGACTAAGAGTTTTTCTGTTTCAGTGTGTTCCTTGGTTGTATCACTGGTACTTAATTACTCAGTAACCATATTATAGCTTTAGTAATAATGATAGCAAAAACTCTTGATTAATCGGAAGAGATTTGGTGCTGAGAGACCAAATTGATTTGGCCTTGTGTGTAGTTCCTGGCACAAGATCACTTTTAGCGGCAAAACCAGATAAGATGCAGAACTTTTTACAACAACAAAGAATACCTCTTCCTGGCAGGATCTAGTGAACTGCTGAGGTTGGTGCATCAATTAAGAAACATCTTCGATGGGAAACTTCTCCATCTGGCTTCTTGAAAAATGCTCTACTCTTATCGTAACGCGAAAGTCCAGAATCCGAAGGAAAATAGAACTTACAGAAGTTGAACAACTGTTGAAACTTATTTATCAAAAAAGCAGATTGACAAACGTTTATTTATCGCAATACAACCTTTCAAAATCTTCCTTCCAGTTGTCTTTATTGCCTTCAAAATTATTTTATCTTCTGATTGCTGTCTCTAAAAAAGGCTCTTAGGTGCTTCTTCTTAATGAGACAGCAAATTTTGACTTTGCATTCACGTTATAACTGTCAAAAAATTTCAACAATGTCTTCTATTTTGCAGTTTTGCAGTCACCATTTTGACAATAAATGTGTCGCCTTGACTGCCGTTACATATTTCGTCAGTTAACTGTGAGGTTTCAAAGGAAACGAAACAACGAATGACTTCGTTAGGCTGAGTCCTATTCAAGGAAAACTTTGTAACTATCAGGGATGAAGATATCAGTAAAATGCAAATTTTAGTTAGTAAATTAGAAAAAAAGTCAGTCTTCGAAAGAAAATGCTTACAATGTATGTGAAAAAATGAAGTATCACTTTTTTCTGCTGAGCTTATGAGAGTGTCGCCGTATCATCCCATATCGCACCAAAATTTTCTCCACTGAGTACATCCAACTAGTGCTTTTAAACTGTTGAGGTGCTAATATGCCCGATGATTATTTTTGAGCCATGCATGTAGTCTGTTATAGGCACTTACATGAGTGCGATATGAGTCTTTCGGCCGTCGCAACCTCGTCACCTGCATAGCGCCTTTCGTTCTAGCCAAACCCTCTTGAGGGTAACCCGACTCCCTTGCATAAATGGGACGCAGACGTACTCATGGCGCGTGTGATAAAGTGAAAGAAATCACTAAATGGGCAGTGTTCTAGACTCGATTGCTCTTGTCTAGTGTCGTCAACTATACCATAACTTTCGTTCCGAGTGTTTTCTTGAGACTACTCTCAAATCTCAGTTTGCCTGATGATTATTTTTGATCCACGCATGTAGTCGTTATGGGTGCAGTAACACGTGTATTGCACGCTATAAGTGCGCATAAGAGACCATATGCATGGCTCAGAAATAAATATCAGGCATATAGAAATTTCAGCGTGGTCTTAAGAAAACACTCAAAGCGAACGGTATTGGGAGTCAGAATATCAATAGCAAGAACTTTCTATTTAAGAAATACGGAATAGTCTATTTTCTTAATGTTTTGTCACCTTTTAGAATGAAAATATCTTGCAATCTCTATTTGTTGCACTCATCCAAGCGCCTTTGTTGGATCTCTATTGGCGAATGATGCTGTCGGTGTCAGTGCCTCGCAGTGGAGCACATTTTTGTTCATTGAACAAATGTCTCGATTTCTCATGTCCTCTATTTCTCTTCGCTGACATCGTGTTCATTTCTTTTCAATAGTAATTGAGCTAGTGTGATCGTCGAATGAGATGGAACAGTT